TATATTTTCACTGCTGTTCTTGTCGTTTAGCACTTGTTTATTGTTATATCCAGGATTTCGGCTACTGATCGTACGTCTTAGGGTATAATTAAGTAAATTTCACTGACTGACTGGCTGATACTGAAAATACGGGTGTGCATTAAAGGATGCCTTAAACGTTTCTTGTGAACTTTTTTTTGAAAACGAGCTTCAATCCAAATAGTTCTAAATGTTCCATAATAAACAGATGGCAGGTCACTCTACCAGTGAATAATGGAATCAGCATGCCTATAAGAAGGAATTTTAAATGATTCAGTGACCTTTACCACTGTATAATTTTATCACTCCATCAAGCTGAAAGAAGAACACGTGAAATTTTTAACTAAATGATTTTAATTGCTTTAATTTTAAAACAATAATTAAAATTCAGCAACGAAATATCAATACTACACAACCATGCATGAGTGAAAAGTTTCACAAACTCTCAGTCGTTACTACTACACTAAATATCGCATATTGTTTGAAGAACAACTACTTACGTTCCATGCGGGGACTCTTTCTCTGAACTTTTCGTTCACCATCACCAGGATTGAAATGAGGTGCTCCAATGATGATTCCTTACCAGAATAATTTGGCCACAGGTAAAATTCCAAATACTGTCTAAAGAGAAAACCTTACGCTAAGAAAAGGACAGAAAGTGCAAAAGTTTACATCACCACGACGCAATAAAAAGTAAATTTCACACAGCGCCAGCAAAATGTACAAATCCTATCTTCACCAGATGAACCAACTGAGTCAAGCATTTACCAACTGTTTCAGAATAAAAGGTATGTCGTCCTGGGAAATTTCCACAGGGTCTCAATATAGGTTATGAACTGAAGCTTATAAAACAAAGTAATTATTCAGTTTTGGTATTTAATGTTTAATAGATTTAGGACAGAATTAATCAAGTATACACGATCACTCCTCATCAAAACCAGAATCCATAGCAATTTTGCATCTCAAGGTGGCGAACCACCTGGAAGTAACGCAGTGTATTTATCCATTCTCTTGGACGATAAACCTTATTGGATACCGAATTAGTAGTTTTGAAGGGAAGGAGTTCAGGGATATGACAGGGCTTCACTGATTTATATCTATATCTGAATCTTAGCTGCTCGACCCCCTCCTATCCAGGCCAACTTACAAACTTGGTATCCACTGAAGTTTGTCTTCCTACAGAGGAGATAACTACTTGAAGTTCAACTTATCCAACAGGTGTTCACCGCTTTCAAACAAAAAATTTGCTTAAAGCTTGCTGCGGATTTAAAGTGATGAATAAAGTACCGACTAAATTCCATATTAAACTAATTAGACTGTAAACAGAAAAATATGTATAAATCTTTTACAGACTTTCATTCAAAAGCAGCGTCGAGATATCTAGAAATCCTCGCAAAAATACACTATTCATCGTGAGAAATGTGCATTTCAAAACAATTGATCGATTGTGCGTTACCTATTGTTGTATAATTGGAGAACAATAAATTATTGAGAATCTGGCACCTGCCAGAAGATAAATTTAAAATCTATCAGATTTTAGATATGAAACAAATCGAGAGATATCAAACTAAACTCTAACGTAGTTCAAGGTAATGCACATATAACGTTCTTACCAATTTGACTAAGTTATGATTACAACCATTAAACGAAATTTGCAGAAGAAGAATCCTTTTATTCTTTGGGTTAAAATCCAAAGTGAATATTTATTTTTCATTTCCAGTTTCATGGACACCGGTTGGTTAACACGCTGCTACCTTGCTTCGGTCAAGGATTTACTGAATGAATGCCTATCCCGTTTGCAGCTAGTCAATTTATGCGTCGTGTAATCTGTTGAGCGCATAAAAAGGAAGCATGCGTTCTTCAGAGATTTGTCACTGAAAAAGGATGAGATGTCCAGGTAAATACATATATGGTTTCTTTTATACAGAGAAAGGTTCTGTAAGTAGCATGTCGTAAAATGATTAGAGCCGCCGCAGTCAAATTTCCAATCTCATCGTTCCTCTCCAAAGTGAAACGAGAGACTTTATTGCCAAGTTGGGACGTTGTGGCAATGTTGTACAGAGAATGGCTTCCAACTCCAACAGTGCCGAGTGCAAACGCGAAGAAAGGACAATCTTTGCCTGACCGACGAATTCCTTTCAGCAAGGAATTAATTCCAATTTTCTTCGGTGCAATTAGCCGAGAAACGAGTAATAAAGTCGGTGATTTGATATGGTCATACAAGAATGAACGAGATATGCTCTCCGATGCGAGGGCCCCTTAGGGACACACTTCGCCTGATAATCCGCACAAGTTATAACCTTAAGAATATCGACGTTTCATTTAGCGCATGTATAATCAGTAAAATAAACAGTGGACGATGTTTTCTCACTGTGTGAGTCAAACCATAAAAAAACATCATTACAGCAAATGGCCATGAACTACAGAAAAAGTTTAATTAGTACTTACGTAAATTCTAACATCATAATCTGTCGAAGAGCAAAATTGGTCTTCAACAACTGCTTCTGGTAAACCTCGGCAACAACCTAAAATCTTTGCGATTAAAACCAAAACAGAAACGATGACACTAACTTCAAAAACTCAGAATAAACTGAATCATTAGTGATAATAACTACCAGAGATATTTGTGAAAGCTTCCTTAATCTAAACGCCACAGATAAGTTTTAAGAAGAATTAAACATTAGTACGTTTGTTTTTTAATTGGTATCTTCGTCAGTTCGCGAAACCGCGATATTTAGGTATTTGTGCATAACTGTCATCAAACCTGGACGATGATGATCACAATTCGGATTCGGCCCGACAAGAGTATGATCAGAAATCGTTGGGCCTAATCTGTGATTAGAGGGTCCAATGCATCGTAAAAATTTACGTACTAATGCATATATCCTCAAAGAATTACAGACGTTCATTAATTCAATTAAGTCACTAATTCGGTGTCATCATTGGTAAGTTTATGAAAGTAGCGGCTAAAAGCTGAAACCCGGTGCCATCGAACAGAGAAAAAATTTTCATTAGGACTGCGAGCACCGAGTCATACATCTGACGCAAAGAAAGCTCCGAGTCATCTAGTGTCAAAGTTGTGAAGCAAATATCTTGATCAATGACCGTTGGGCTCACTGTGAGTAGCTATCTTTTGTCGCACAGACGCGTTCAGCCGAATTCAGAAATTTGCTATTTGCCCAAAAATGACTACGAAAAACCTTCTAACGAAATTCACATGCACAAAGATATGAACAGAAAAGGAGCATCGAGTTTCTCTGGTCCAAAAGAAGACCAAGTCTACATAAGCAACTTAAAAGCTAAACTCTGTTGACAGATGCTACTAGGTGTTATTGAGCAAAGAGTACTTTTTGTGTTTCAGAGACGAGGGGAGATCTTGCCGATCAGTCGAACAATTTTCCGCTGTCCAAGAATAATGTGCTGATAAAGAAAGAAACAGAAAATAGGTAATCATCGAAATGGCTATGAGTTCCTTTAATATT